GAAACTTGTGTATATTTATCGTGGTTTTTATTATCGCCTGTTCACCGCCCTGAGTCCCGTAAGGGAGATAGGGCGGTATATAAATTCAATAAATAATAATAATAATAATAATAATAATAATAATAATAATAATAATAATAATAATAATAATAATAATAATAATAATAATAATAATAATAATAATAATAATAATAATAATTTACAGCAAAGTTCTGGAGGGAGTTTGTAAAACTAATTGGGTCAACCCAGGGGCTCTCCTCAGCTTTTCATCCGAGCACTAATGGATCGGCTGAACGTATGAACACAATGGTGGAACAATACTTAAGATGCTATGTCAACTATCAGCAAACTAACTGGGCAGACCTCCTGCCTTTCGCTGAAGTGGCATACAATAATACCGTTCATAGCAGCACCAGACTTACCCCGTTTAAAGTAGCAACCAGCAGGGAGTTTGTTCCTATGCCTGAATATCCTCAGGAGCCCCCCTCCTCGCAAACTTTGAATCAGTGGGTGACATCCCTGCAGAGCACTTGGGCGAATGTTAGACAAGCTGCAAAAAGCTACAAAGAGAAAGCAGACAAGAGGCGGTCCCCTCAGAAACCGCTTTATGTGGGAGACAGAGTTTATCTCTCTACAAAGTACTTAAGGTTAAAATTACCCAGTAAGAAATTAGGACCTAAGTTTCTTGGTCCTTTCCCTATAGTCAGGATCATCAATCCTGTCACTGTTGAACTAAAACTCCCACGACTTTTAGGGAAGGTCCACCCTGATTTCCATTGCAGTTTGCTAAAGCCAGTCGAGTCCACATTGAGACCAATTCCCCAAAAAGCACCTGGTCCTGTTCTAGTAGAGGGTGAAACTCATTATGAAATAAAGCACATTCTCAATTCTAGACTATATAAAGGGTAATTACAATATCTAGTGCAGTGGAAAAGTATCCCTTATCAGAAGCTACATGGGTGAAGAAGGGGGATGTGAAGGCAGAAAGATTAATACAGAAATTTTATGATAAACATCCCCAAAAGACTAGGGAGGAGTCCTGACCTACATTTCTGTTTCTTTCTTTGTCGTTCTAGGTCAGTGGTTCTCAACCTGTGGGTCGGGACCCCATTTGGGGTTGGTCGACCATTTCACAGGGGTCGCCAAGCAAGGCTGTCCGCCATTTTTTTTGTCCGCCATTTTTTGTCCGCCATTTTTTTCCCCCTTTTCCGGCGGGTGCCTTACCTCCCTTGGGCTGGGCCAGCTGGTGGTCGGCCTGCTCCATCTCTGCCGCTTGCCAGCTACGCCTCGGCCAGGGCAGGGGGCGGAACCACGCATGTGCGGCGCTCCCGGGCAGGGAAAGTCCTCGACTTACGACCGGTTGGGTAGTCCTCGACTTACGACCGGTTTAGTCCTCGACTTACGACCAGTTGGGGGTCGTGGCATTAAAAAGGTTGAGAACCACTGTTCTAGGTTGCCACAAGAGAGGGAAGGGGGACGAGGTATTTTTGCTAGTCTAAACATGAATAGATCCCATGGGAACCAAGGTCATTCCCACACCGTAGTGGAGAAGGAGGGACGTCCTGCCAAAAAGCCCGCCAAGTAGTTCTATTGGAGAATGTGATTTATAGCTAAATAGAAGGGTGGGAACTATTACATTGAGTTACTCTTACCTTTGGGGGGGGATTTTAGATTTGGTTTCACCTTTGACCGTGCCATCATGTATCCAATAAACATGTTCTTTGAGGAAATCTCATGCCTCGGAGTTCTAATTTATTTGGTTCCATCAGTCGGTACCTTGACACTATGCACTGTGACTTTCCCAACACTACATGTGGAAGCAGGGCAAGAGAAATAAATGGCTGGAATGAGAAACAGGAAAAAAATATTGCGTTTTATTAAAAGCATTGTGACAATCTAAAAATTTAGTACCCGGATAAAGCATAACACATGGTATATAACTGTAAAACTAGTTTGCCTCATATTCCAAAAATAATACCAGAACGTAGAGATGGACGGTGGTATCAAAAATCTAATTGTTAGGGTATTTTGGGGAGGGGGGAAGAGCCACAGGAAGAACTGATGGGCTGGATGCCAAAACAAAGCAAGATTATGGCATACACTTGAGATCAGGAAGTCTGTAATTGGGGACTTTGTCTGGCAAAAACAAAGAATGCTTATTCACAGGAAATATGCACGTGTAAAGCTTTTAACAATTCTGGGTGGTTAGAAAGCTGATAAAAGTAACAAAGACTTGGGCATCTTGCAAGCTCACCCACCCACCCGCCCCAAGTGGGCTGCACCTAATCCTTCGCGTTGACCCCGCCTCACCCAAACCCACCTGGTGGCACTCGGCCATGCCTACCCGGCCACGCCCACCTGGCCTCAGTGAGTCATCCCATTCCCAAACCAACAGCCTCTGATTTCTAACAATGTAACTGAGACACATCAAAGCTGAAAAAAGATCAGAAGTCCTCCCCCATCAAAAATTCCAAGGGAATCCAGTCCCAGAAACAGGACCAAAGCTTTTATTTGATGCAGGAAGAGTTTGGTCTGTCTTTATTTTCCTTACAATGAAAGAGAAAGGTCAACCTTTCCTCTGGAAATTGACAAAAATCAGTAGTTCAAGCCAGCATGTATTGTTTACAAAAAAGCTGGGCAGAAGGGATATCTCAAGGAGAAGCACCTGGTCCAATAGATCTCTTTTCAACTTTTCCCAAAGTATTTGAACACAATTACTGTTATGTATTGAGGTCAATTACTTGGAAACTGTTGGAAATGGTCAAACGGCTGCGCCTGTTTAAGCTCCAGACTGACTGTCTACATGTTAATTATCTTGTCTTTAAGCGGGAAATACTGCTTTAATTCTATTGGCTGCCGCCTAGTGGTGAGCTGTATAAATAGTGGTTAAGCAGCAGTTTGGGCTGCTTCTGTTGTGAACTGAATAAAGAGTTGTTTGCACCATTCGCCTCATCAATGCCTCACCAAACTAGAAAAATAACAGTGGCGATGAGGGTAGGATGTGCTGCTTAACAAGAAAGAGCCAGAAGTCACTAGGGGTAGACCAGGCTGCAGCGCCCTGGTAGGAACTACATTCCCCCCTCTGCCTGCCAGCAAGCAACGCTGGATGCCAATGCCCTGAGGGACCTGTCCCTAGGACAGTGGTTCTCAACCTTTTTAATGCCACGACCCCAACCGGTCGTAAGTCGAGGACTAAACCGGTCGTAAGTCGAGGACTTTCCCTGCCCGGGAGCACCGCACATGCGTGGTTCTGCCCCCTGCGCTGGCTGAGGCGTAGCTGGCAAGCGGCAGAGACGGAGCAGGCCGACCACCAGCTGGCCCAGCCCAAGGGAGGTAAGGCACCCGCCGGAAAAGGGGGAAAAAAATGGCGGACAAAAAAATGGCGGACAAAAAAAATGGCGGACAGCCTTGCTTGGCGACCCCCGTGAAATGGTCGACCGACCCCAAATGGGGTCCCGACCCACAGGTTGAGAACCACTGCCCTAGGACAACAACAGAAGCCTTAGCAGCACAAGGCATTGCGAGGTTGGAGACAACTCACCATGGCCAAGCTCGGAAAATTGTTGGAGTTCAACGTATCGCATCCCGAGAAGTGGAGCTCTTACATTTCGCGCATTGAGAGCTAACTGTTGTGGTTCCGTCCTGTGAGCCCATCTTATCGGAGGAAGAAGGCTCCGAACATGAAGGAGAGGAGATGACCAGGCCTCTCTCTCCAGGACCCTCCTCTCTGGCAATGCCTCAGGTGTCTCCCGACGGAGAAGAGATTGGCCAGGAGCCAGGTGTTTCCGAGCCGTCGGATAGTGACGAAGATACGTTGTGGCTGGACCCACGCCAGCATAGGCAAGACAAGCATGCGCAGCAGAAAAGGAGGCGTGCCAGAGATTAAGCTGAGTCACTGGACCCCACCCCACAGGCTATAAAAGAGAGTATGGTGGCCATTCGGACTCTGTGATGGAAAAAGCTAAATCTCTGGCGAATCACTTTGCACCTTTGGACACAACGCCTATTTGCTGTGGATTTAATTACAAACTGGACTATTCAAACTGTGTGTATTTTTGTCTGTGTTATCGCAGTAAAAAAGTTCTTGGCAGGCAGCTATGGAGTTTCTGCCAAGTTCCTTATCAGTGGCGTGGAGTGTCTGAGAAGGTTATTTAACCCTCGGCTGGCTGTTTGGGTGTGTGTGAGACGGGGACAGAACACTAACCAAGTTAGAGAAGAAGGCTTAAAGGCCGCAACACTGATGTGCGTGTGTGGCCAGGCAACGTTTGATATCGCCAAAAACCTGGTTGCACCAGCCACACTTGAATCGGTCACCTACGCTGAGCTCAAGAAAATGCTCAAGGAGCATTTCGAGCCGAAGCGCTCAGTCATTGCCTGGAGACACGCCTTCGAACAAAGGGAGCAACAACCAGGCGAGTCTGCCGCCGAGTTCATAGCTGTCCTAGGACAGGCATCCAGGCTCTGCAATTTCCAAGACCTAGAAGAGAGACTGAGAGACCATTTAGTTTGCGGGTTGAGGAACAGGGATCTTCAGCAGAAGTTGTTCGAGAAAGAGACTTTGTCGTTCCAAGACGTCCTAAAGGAAATCATGGCCAAAGAAGCCACCGGGGGAGCCGTAAAAGCCTTACAGCCCTCCAAGAACACTCCCAGCCCAGAAACCACCCATCACGAGGACGCGGGAAGAGGCGAGGTCCCCAACATGGACCATGAAATTGATCTGCTGCAGAAGCCACCAGCAAAAGTTCAACGGCCACTTGACAAGGAAGTTCCTTTCACTCGATGTATGGGCTGTGGAGGCCGACATAGATGCTCGGAATGCAGGTTCCGCACAGCAATGTGCTGGGCGTGCGGCAAGCAAGGCCACATTGCCGCCGTCTGTAAAGGTCGCCAGAGAGACATTCCACAAGAAGAATTTCTCAGGAAAGGTACCGGGGCCCCAGGGCAACACAGAGTTGGCTTTTGTGCTAGCAGAAGGAGCATGTTTAGAACAGGTGCCCATCGCCCCATGAAGAAGCTGAGACTCAAAGTCAAGCTTCATGGAGTCCCATGCAACATGGAACTAGACACGGGGTCAGCCCTGTCTATAATTTCCCAAGGAACTTTTAACCACACTTGCAGTCGCAGCGGCAAACGAGTCAAACTCAAGCCGTCGAACCTCCTGTTAACTGATTTCCAAAACTCCCGCGTAGCGGTTAAAGGAGAAGCCACCCTCAAAGTGCAGTTCAAAGAGTTTGAGGGTCCCCTGGACGTCATTGTAGTTGAGGGCCACCGCACAAGCCTCATCGGGCTAGACTGGTTTGATGCATTGGGCATCCACGTGACTGGCATACACAGAACGCAAGCAGCGGACCTGTCGTTAGTTTGCCAAGAGTTTGCTGATGTGTTCAGCCATGAATTAGGGAAGTACAAGGGTCCTCCAATTACCCTCCACCTCAATCCTACCGTAACCCCAGTAAGGATCAAGCCTCGTAGAGTGCCTTTTGTCCTCAAAACCAAAATCGATGCAGAGCTGGACAAGCTGGTGCAACAAGGTGTGTTGCAGCCAGTAGACAGCAGTAGGTGGGAAACCCCCATAGTTACGCCACTTAAGGCCAATGGGGAGGTGCACATATGCGCGGATTATAAGTGCACTATTAATAGAGCGCTTCAACAACATTCATATCCAGTGCCTGTAGTCAGCCACATTTTGGCGTCACTACAGGGAGGTCACATATTTGCCAAATTGGATTTGGCTCAAGCCTACCAGCAACTGCCCGTGGACGATGCCACAGCAGAAGCTCAAACTATAGTTACCCACAGGGGAGCTTTCAGGGAGAAGTGCCTACAATTCGGGGTCAGTGTTGCCCCAGGACTTTTCCAGGGCGTGATGGAGCGCACACTCAAAGGTATTCCAGGCGTGTGTCTGTATTTCGATGATGTCCTCATAGCTGGGGAGTCAGTTGAGAAATTGGCAGAACGGCTCAGGGCCGTCCTTCAGCGTTTCCACGAAGCGGGCCTGAAACTAAAAAGGCAGAAATGTAAAATTGGGGTAGCTTCAACCGAATTCCTCGGTTTCTGCATAGATGCCGAAGGCATTCACCCTGCTGAATCCAAGCTCAAAGCAATTCAGCTGGCTCCCCGCCCTCAGACAAGAAGGGAAGCTCCAGGCATTTTTAGGCCTGTTCAATTTTTATCATGCACTCCTTCCAAACAAGGCCACAGTGGCAGAGCCATTACACCGGCTCTTGGACAAACATGCACAGTGGCAGTGGACCAGTGTCCACGAGAAAAGTTTTTCAGCAGTCAAATCACTGCTGTCTTCAAACTCAGTACTGGTGCATTTCAATGAACAGCTACCCATTTGCATCGCCTGTGATGCGTCTCCATACGGGGTAGGGGCTGTGTTGAGCCATTTAATGGCTGACAGGAGCCAAGCTCCCATAGCTTATTATTCAAGGGCTCTGTCCTCAGAAGAACACAACTATGCCCAAATAAATAAAGAGGCTGTCAAGGCTGCTAACATTGGATGTTCTTGCTTGACAATATATGAAGAAGCAGACATTTTCTATTTAACCTGTGTATTACTTCTAGAGCTAAAGTTAGATAGTGTTGGAAGGGAGGGGGGAAAGAATGTACTTGGGAAATAGCCATAACAATATTTCAGTACAGTATTTTTCAAGGTTAGTTGTAACCAGAGGAGATACGGTAAAAAAACTTCACACTTCAAACTAATTGGAGAACGTGATTGATGACTGTTAAATGAAGGAGTGAGTTATGCTTTGTTACGGGTGATTGGGGGGAGGAGAATTCAGATTTTGGCTTCACTATGTATGTGCCGAAGCTATGTAGCAATTAAAAAGATTCTTTAAGGAAAACAATGCCTCAAAGTTCTTTGAAGAGCTTCTACTTTCGGAACCATGACATTAAGCCAAAATCCACAAAAGGTTTTAACCATTTAAGGGGTCCCGGGCCCTGGTCACTATCCCTAAACTAAAGGGATAGGCTGGCAAAGATTCGGGTAAGATCTCATCATGGAGGAAAAAAAATTGCCTGAGGCCAGCATCCTGGCAGCCGCAGCTTCCCCGGGGGGGGGGGGGAGCGACAGCAGCAGCATCTTCCCCGGGTGGGAGAGCGACAGCAGCAGCAGCTTCCCCAGGGGGGAACGACAGCAGCAGCAGCTTCCCCAGGGAGGGGAGCGACAGCCAGCCAGCCGGTGGAGAAGAGATCCTTGCAGATCTCCCAGCTGGGAGCAAGGCCAAAACTATCAGGAGAGCTGATTTGGTCGTCAGACTGGGATAAGCCGAGCGGAGGCTCCGGAGGCTTCGATACAACCCTGCCGACTTCGAAAGCAGATGAGCGGGAGTCACAACAAAGGGATTCTTACATATTGCATCCCTCACACCAGTGGAGAGCTGCCTGGCCGTCTGTCACCGAAGACTCAGGTGAGTGGAAATACCCACCTGCAGCTCGCAGTGGGTCAGTAGAATATTTGGCAGAAAGATTTGAAGAACTAGAAGTGAGAAGCGGAGAGCAGCTCCTGTTGAGAGAGGCCCCCAGCCCCTCCCTCGCAGATCAAACAGCCTTCCAGACCCTGGGGTCCCCTGCCAGGGCCTCCAGCCCCACAGAGAGAGAGAACCCCAGCCTGGGCCCCCTACAGCAATGGGGAATTTGGCAGCCCCCACAGATGAGTGGTCAGCCACCTCTGAGCTTACATCAACTAATAGAGGCCTTGCAGCAGCTTGGGGTGGTGCAGAAGCCAGGAGAGCAACAGCTGGTGGGCCCGCAGATGAGGGAGGTCCAGCAACAACCCCCACTCATCCAGCAACCATTGAGGGGCCTGCAGCAGCAGAGGGCACCACCAGCCCCTGCAGTCCAACACCAGAGAAGACCACTGCAACCCCCACGTGCACAGCCACCATTGAGAGGCCTACAGCAGCAGGGGGCACCACCAGCCCCCGCTGGCCAACAACAGAGAAGATAGCAGCAGCCCCCGCCCAGACTGCAACCTTTGGAAGACCTCCAACAACTCGAGAGGCCAGTACTACCGGTATTGCAACCAAAGCAGGGTGGATGGCCGCAGCCCCCGAACGTGCAACCCCTGGGCATGCACCAACAGCCAGGGTGGGGCCAACTGCAACTGGGGGATGCAACATCGACAGTGGAGGGCTCAGCAGCCGTTGGATCAGCAGCCAGGATGGGGCCAACAGCAACTGGGAGGGCCACAAGCGCAGAGGGGAGCCCAGCAGATGTTGCACCAGCAGCCAGGGTGGGGCCAGCAGCAACAGCCACAGTGGGGGCCACAACAGCCAGCAATTGCACCACCCTTCAGAGCAACCTTCGATGGGGACCCAGAAAAGCTGATTTTTTTTCTCAACCAAGTGCGTTCTCACATGAATCGCTGGGCCTATCTCTACCCGGACCCAGGTGCCATGGTCGATGTGATTGCGTCCAGCCTAGAGGGAGAAGCATCCGAATGGCTGAACAATTTATATAATGAGCAAGCCCCGGAATTGGGGGACCCCCACCTCTTCCTCCTAGGGCTGAGAGAAAGATTTGAGGACCCATCCATTGGCCTCAAAGCAGGAGAACAAATCCACAAAATAAAACAAGCCGGCAGGCCTGCCCTGGAATACATGCGAGAGTTCCGCAAGATAGCAGGTCGAATAGAGGGGTGGCCTGAGCAATCCCTAATCCATCACTTAATTGAGGGATTAGACGATCACCTCTCTCAGGCCTGCATGTATCGAGCAGTACCTGATCAGCTACAAGAGTGGTACCAGACAGCGGTGAAGCTAGACGTTCAGCTCACCCGCTATAAGAAGCCTCCCTCACCTGAAATCGAGCCAAAACCAGAACGACCTAGACAACAACCATCCCCCCAGAAACCTCCAACAGCTACGTCTGCTAAAAGACCCAGGCCACCAATCATGTGCTTCTGATGCGGACAGCAGGGACATCGAGCAGCGAACTGCCCAGTTCCCTACCCCCAACAGCAGAGCAGACCGAGACCCGCAGCGAAGAAGAAACCTGATCAGCAGCCAACGAGAGGAAAATCCAACTGGATCACACAGGAACTGGTTGCCCAAGTCACATCCCACACACAGGAGGATGCCGAGACTAAGGCTGGATCCTTTCCCGCTCTACCCTCTTTAGACAGCGATGATGAAGGAGAGAACGACCCAATGGTGAGTCGACAAATCCCACCTTTTTCACTGGCCGCCAAACTTATAATCCCTAAATCGGGGGCTCAAATGGACTTAAACGTGCTAATTGATTCTGGATGCACCCGATGTATTATTAGCTTACCCTTTGCCATGAAATTGGGCATACGAGCAAAATTGCTCTCCAAACCCATGAGGTTTGAGCAAGCTGATGGCTCCCTCATGGGAGGGACTCTTGTTACGCAATTAACTGAGCCCCTATGCCTAGAAATAGGTGAGCACTGGGAGTTTATTCGCTTCCTGGTGGCTCCAAAAATGACTGAGGCGGTGATCCTAGGGCTAGCCTGGTTAGACAAATGGAAGCCGTTTATGTGGTGGGAGAAAGGAATGAGAACTGTGAGACTACCTATAGGGCCTAATCCCCCCATTGATTCAACCGATGTTGTGGGACACCTTAGGCCACCCAATGAACGAGCGCACATGGCTGCCTCACCGCCACCAGGCAAACCACTCATCCCCAGTGAATACCGGGACCTGGCAGAGGCATTTAGTGAAAAGGAATGTGATGCCCTGCCCCCTCACAGACCCAATGACTGCTCTATCAAATTGTTGCCAGGAGCCAAACTTGCACTCCCGAGAATGTACGCAATGTCTCCCCTCGAAATGGAAGAGATGCAGCGATACGTGAACAAAAACCTAGCTAGTGGGTTCATTGAACGGGCCAAATCTACCGTGGGAGCTCCTGTGTTATTCAAAGAGAAAAAAGATGGGTCTCTTCGACTCTGTGTAGACTATAAGGGTCTCAACGGGGTGAGTGTGGAAAACAAATACCCCCTCCCCTTCCTAAAGGACTTATTAACCCATCTGGCTAAGTGGAGTGTCTTCACTAAATTAGACCTGAGAGAGGCATATTACCGGGTGAGAATAAAGGAGGGGGACGAGTGGAAAACTGCCTTCAACTGCCCCATGGGGAGCTATCAATTCAAAGTCATGCCATTTGGGCTACAGGGAGCCCCAGCCGTGTTCATGCAGCTGATTAATGAGGTCGTACACGATCACTTGTACAAAGGGGTTCTGGTGTATCTTGATGATATCCTGATGTACAGCACAAACATGACTGATCACATAAAGCTGGTGAGAGAGGTGCTAAAGAAACTATTAAATGCCAAGCTTTATGCTAAATTGTCGAAATGTGAATTTCACCAGACCCGATTAGATTATCTTGGCTACAGAATTGAAATGGATCCAGCCAAGGTGAAAGCTATAACTGAATGGCAGCCTCCCAAAACTCGCAAACAGCTCCAGAGCTTTCTGGGTTTTGCCAACTTTTATCGTCAATTCATCCCCTTTTGCCGAGATTGCCCTACCCCTTACAGAACTACTCAAAACAGGCAAAGGAGGAGGGAAGCCACGACCGGGCCAACCACTAGCATGGACGATGGGCTGTCAAACAGCTTTTGAGAATTTAAAGAGACTATTTGCTACTGAACTGGTCTTAAAGCACCCCTGCCCAGGGGAGCCCTTTGTAATTCAAGGTGATGCCAGCGATGTGGCAGTTGGAGCTGTTTTACTGCAAAAAAACAAAAGTGGGGTCCTGCAACCCTGCGCCTACACCTCTAAGAAATTTACTGAAAGCGAGCGGACATGGGCAATCTGGGAGAAGGAGGCCTTCACGGTTAGGTGGGGGCTATTAAGCTGGCGACACTATCTAGAAGCGAGCAAGGTGCCATTTGAAGTATGGACAGATCATAAAAATCTAGAACCACTGAAAACTCCCCGCAAATTGTCCCCAAAGCAAGTGTGGTGGGCACAGTACTTTAACCGCTTCAACTTCACTCTAAAGTACATACCGGGAGGAAAAAACTTCCTAGCTGATGCGCTATCCCGGTTACCCCAATACAAGAGCGAACGTGAGGATGTTACCGAGGCAATTATCTCCAATCCACAAACTGCCGCTCAACTTACGCCTCGCAGGGTCCCTAATCCTGATGACCCTGGGGTAAAGAAGATAAAACGTGAGCTCCTCACCGATCAATGGTTCAAAGATAATCAAACCTCCCTAACGTGCAGGGATGGCTTGGCTTACAAAGGGGGGAAACTATATTTGCCCGAAGCCCTCCGTCTTAATGCTCTCAAACACAGCCATGATGTAAAACAAACTGGACTGACCTCCTCCCTTTCGCTGAAGTGGCTTACAATAATTCTGTTCACAGCAGTACCGGCTACACGCCTTTCAGAGTAGCCACAGGAAAAGAGTTCAGTCCAATACCTGAATACCCCCAGGTGCCTTCCGCCTCACAGACACTTGACCAATGGGTGAGGGGGTGGGAAGAAGTGTGGCGAAACACGAAAATTGAATTAAAAAAGACTTTTGAAACCTATAAAAAGCAGGCTGATAAAAAGAGGGCTCCTCAAAGAACGTTCCAAGTTGGGGAAAAGGTTTATTTGTCAACTAAAGATTTATGCCTCAAATTGCCCAGCAAGAAATTGGGACCAAAATACTTGGGGCCTTTCCCCATTGTAAGGATCATTAACCCCGTCACAGTAGAATTGAAACTCCCTAGGCTTTTAGGGAGAATTCACCCTGTCTTCCATTGCAGCTTGTTAAAACCTTGTCGAGGCTCCACCTTAAGGCCTCCCCCTAAGAAGGCACCAGGGCCCCTCGTAGTTGCAGGACAGACCCACTATGAAGTGAAACGTATTCTTGACTCTAGAATTTTTAAAGGGAAATTGCAATACCTAGTTCAATAGAAGGGATACCCATTGTCTGAGGCTACCTGGGTGAAATCCAGTGATGTGAAAGCTGACAGACTCATCAAAAGGTTTCATGCGAAACACCGCAACAAACCGAAAAATAATCCTTAACATATGCTTTTGTTTACATTGCAGGATCTGTCCTTTTTTTAAGGGGGGCTGGATGTCAAGGCTGCTAACATCGGATGTTCTTGCTTGACAATATATGAAGAAGCAGACATTTTCTATTTAACCTGTGTATTACTTCTAGAGCTAAAGTTAGATAATGTTGGAAGGGAGGGGGGAAAGAATGTACTTGGGAAATAGCCATAACAATATTTCAGTACAGTATTTTTCAAGGTTAGTTGTAACCAGAGGAGATACGGGAGGAAAACTTCACACTTCAAACTAATTGGAGAACGTGATTGATGACTGTTAAATGAAGGAGTGAGTTATGCTTTGTTACGGGTGATTGGGGGGGAGGAGAATTCAGATTTTGGCTTCACTATGTATGTGCCGAAGCTATGTAGCAATTAAAAAGATTCTTTACGGAAAACAATGCCTCAAAGTTCTTTGAAGAGCTTCTACTTTCGGAACCATGACAGAGGCATTGGCAATCGTGGCTGGTGTCAAGAAATTTCATGACTATTTGTATGGTTGTCCATTCACGGTCTTTACGGACCACAAGCCACTTCTGGGTCTGTTCACGATGGACAAACAAACACCTCAGATTCTATCTCCAAGGATGCTGAGGTGGTCCATTTTTCTCTCAGCTTATAATTACAGTCTGATTCACAAACCGGGCAGGGAAATGGGCCACGCGGACAGCCTTAGCAGACTGCCCCTTCCGTACTTAGAGCCAGACCCTGTTCCAGCGGCTCGCATTCTGGCTATCCAGGATTTGCTGGAGTCTCCTCTTAACGCAAGGGACGTGGCTGCCGAAACAGCTTTGGACAAGAAACTGAGCCGCGTGTTGAATTGGGTGCTCACAGGATGGCTGGACATAAGTCCGGGACCTAGCTTTCAGAGTTTCAGTAGGAGGAAGGACGAGCTTTCAGCTCACAAAGGCTGCATTTTGTGGGGGATTCGGGTCATACTCCCACACTCCTTGAGGCCCAGGGTACTAGAGTCTCTGCATGAGGGACATCCAGGAATAGTCCGGATGAAGGCACTTGTGAGAAGCTACCTGTGGTGGCCAGGGTTAGATAAAGATATTGAGGCCCAAGTACACAGCTGCTACATTTGCCAGCAATCCCAGCCAGAAATGCTGCAAACCACACAAGCCCCGTGGTCAAGAATTCACATCGATTTTGCAGGCCCCTTTCAGGGACAGCTGTTCCTTATTGTGGTGGACAGTCACTCTAAGTGGTTAGAGGTTGCATCTGTCCCAACTATGACTACTGCCAGGACCATCCAAGAACTGCGCAGGATCTTTGCCACACACGGGTTACCCGACGTGATAGTCTCAGACAATGGGCCTCAATTTACCGCTGCAGAATTCCAGTCCTTTTTGAGGGCTAACATGATCAGGCACGTCACGTCGGCCCCTTTTCACCCGGCCTCTAACGGCCAAGCGGAACGCATGGTCTGAACGACCAAAGAATCCTTAAAAAGGATCGTAACCGGCAACTGGCAGCATAAACTGGCAGACTTCTTACTCTGCCAACACACGACTCCCTGCACTTCCATGGGCAGAAGCCCAGCAGAATTAAGATGGGACCGTTGCTTAATCACTAAGCTGGATCGTCTGCATCCAGACCGAGTTGCATCGGAATCAGCACAGCCAATGCCACCGAGGAGATTGCAAGTTGGCGACCCGGTTTGGACTTGAAACTACGGGCAAGGGGCACTGTGGGTGGTAGCTGTGGTTGGTAAGGTGTCAGGGCCACTCCCTTACGAAGTGGTCCTGGAAGACGGTCGAGTGATACGCAGGCACATCGGCCAACTGTGCAGGAGGCTAGCGAACCAGCCGCTGGCTCATGACTCTCGCGAAAACCAAATCCAGGGGGAGCCTGACAGCAGCTGTGCATCGGAGTCTTCAAGTGAGGGTGAGACTCCCAGGAGAGGGGCACTAGCAGACAGCGAGTTGGCCCCGAACACAGAGACTGCACCCACTGAGCAATTCCAGCAGTCGGCTCTGATTTCCAGCCCGGTGGAAACCGTTCCACCTATGGACACTGGCTCGGGTCTACCCGGACAGACCAGCCACAGAGACTCAGGGCTACCCGTAGTAAACGGGTCCCAAAGCCCCGGTCTACCCAGCCTGGCAGGCAAGCTATTAGACCGGGGGCCTACAGTGGTGCCGAGGCGCTCGGAATGGTCAAGAAGGCCACCGAAATATTTACAGGACTATGTTCAATATTTGTCATTATGAACTATCTAGGGGGAAGGGGTGTTATGTACTGAGGTTAATTACTTGGAAACTGTTGGAAACGGTCAAACGGCTGCACCTGTTTAAGCTCCAGACTGACTGTCTACATGTTAATTATCTTGTCTTTAAGCGGGAAATACTGCTTTAATTCTATTGGCTGCCGCCTAGTGGTGAGCTGTATAAATAGTGGTTAAGCAGCAGTTTGGACTGCTTCTGTTGTGAACTGAATAAAGAGTTGTTGTTTGCACCATTCGCCTCGTCAATGCCTCACCGAACTAGAAACATAACAATTACTGTAAGGACTTGATTAGAATAACTAAAGCAAGTTGCCACAAATGATTGTGGCTGCAAAGATAAAATGAATACAAATGCCAATGCAAAGAGGAGACAGTGATAGTCAGGTGCATCCAAACCACTCCCCTTTCAAAAGGAGGCCTGTAACTATGGATATTGCACTTACTTTTACAACAATAAAATCTGCAGTTTACTGTTTCTTTCACAGCCTGGGACAGGTGGGGGGGGGGGTTGAGGGCTAACACACACATTTACATATCAGCAAATTAACTCATTCACTTCCATTCTAAGTGCTTGCATAAACAATTTCACATACAAATATTTCATTTCATACTTTCTCCAGGCAAACCATTTATTTTTAAATAAGGCCTTTTTGTTTGTTGTTATCAGAGAGGGTTTTGACCCTCTTCCAAGTCTTGGAAATAACACAGAACAACACAGACAGACATATATACACAAATACTATTAAAACAACATTTATTTAGACATATGGCTTGTCCTGCAGGAAGCGAGAAAAATCATGAGGCAATTCCAACCAAACATGTGGTTTTTATAGGGCCCTTTAACCATCTCCTATTTTTCTCACCATTCCAAGCCCAAGCGTAATGTTCTGGATGGCCAAATATATATATATATATATATATATATATATATATATATATATATATATATATATATATATATATATATATATATATATATATATATATATATATATATATATATATATATATATATATATATATATATATATAAAACAAAACACACACATCAATTTGGGGTTTGAGGCTAAAACAAGCCTCCCCCTTTAATTAAAAAGGAGGGGAACATTTATGGTTACTTCCAATTTATCCCAGCAACTTCAAAAGACAGTGGGGAAAGACTAAAAGGAATATTGAACCTGGGGCCTTTTGCAGGTGTGAAGGGGGAGGAGAAAACTAACGCCTCCTCTCCTCATCTCTGACAAAAGAGAATTGAATAGTCCAAAGAGCCAGATTAAAAGAAAAAGAGAGAGAAAAACTTGCTTTCAGTTCTTTGAATTTTCTTTTCTTCCGTGGCTTTAGTTGTTATCAGATAAACTAGCCAATCGAAGGTTTACAAAGTTTTTCAACGTTGCCTTCTTGAAGATTAGTTTTACTACCACACATCAACACAAAGCACCACCAGACGTTGTCTGACAGGGTTAAACTTAACAGCCACTTGAGGTTTCAAAACATCCCAATTGTTCAAAACACATTGCAGAGGAGTACATTTTGATTTAATTTGTTTCTTTAAATTACTCTGATGATTCCCCATATTTTTTATATTTTTTATATTTTTTATTTTATTTATTTTATTTTATTTTATTTATTTTATTTTTTTATTTTATTTATTTTATTTCAAGATAGTTTCTTGGCTTCCTCCCTTTTCACTTAATTAATTTGTAATTTTGTAATTAATTTTTTTTATTTGGAGGACTAGTCAGGGAGATCAGCCCCCTATCTTATTCCAAAATTACCAAAACCTCTGCAACAAAAATTACATTCCAATTTAATTATTTTCCTGAAATCACTCTATCCTGTATTAGAAGACAGTTTCTCAGCTCCCTCTTTTCTTACATTTATTCTTTTTTTATCTATAGAGGGCTAGTCGGAGAGATCAACCTCTTGCCTTATTCCAGGATTACCAAAGCTTTTTTTTTTTTTTTGTTCTCTTTTACTCACCAAGGCGCCTGTTGCAATTTCTCCCTTTCTCCCATCAGTGGAGAAGCATGAAACCTCGTTGAATTCGGGCGTTCAGGTTCCTCAGACAGGGATCCCACCGCCGACGATGAAGCATAGGAGTCTTCCAGGTCAAACACCTAGGAGCGCTCTAAGACTCACGCTTCAGTCCCTATCAGTTTCGTCCTGCTGAGAATTGAAGGCTCGCCGGGACCTTAACAGGGGTCTCCAGATGTGGGGGGAGAGCCGTTGTGGCTTCCACCACGTTAGGCGCCAGGTTGTAAGGTTTTTCACTTAGCCTCACAATTGCCCCAGTGTTACTCAGGAATTTAAAAGAGCCAAAGAAACTCCTGAGCCGAGGTTTCAGCAAGCAAACAACTTTTATTTTGATCAAAATAGAGTTGGGTGGCCCCATCTCTCTTCGTGGCTGGTAGAGAGATGAAGGCAACAACCAGGAAAGATGTCTTCCACCTTTTATACCTTTCCAGAACAAAAAGATCAGGTCTTGGTACCAGGCATAAGATGGCACAAAAAAATAATTCCTAGATGATGACTCATACACAGCAACCCAGGCTCCATCCATAACTCCTTTCCCCCTCCCCTTACCATGCTCTTTTCATGTAAGCAATCACCTGTACCTAAAGCACGAAACAGGATGGACTTCCGGACCGCTTCCCCCCACCGCAGGGAGACGGAACCGCCTAGATGGTTCCGTCCCAGGCGCCTGATGGACCCGGAGAGGTTTCTGACGGAGCTTGGGCCATATCCGGAGGATCTAGGTCACGACTCGGCGGAAGATCAGGCTGCGGCCTGGGATGTGGCCGCAGCCGCAGCACTGGACCGAGTCGTGCNACAGTGCCGGCTGGCGACCCCAAGGGGGAGGGCCTTCTCTGTGGGAGCTCCCACCCTCTGGAATGAGCTGCCCCCAGAGATCAGGGTGATCCCTGATCTCCCTTCCTTCCGCCGCGCCCTCAAGACATGGCTATTCCAACAAGCGGGACTGGCCTAGGGCAATTTTTAGAGGGGTTTTTAATCATATTTTAATTAGACATTTAAATATTTCTTTTTAACTAATTTTAATTTTGTAATTGTTATTGGTGTATTTTTTAACTGATTGTCAGCCGCCCTGAGTCCGCAAGGAGAAGGGCGGGATATAAATTCAATAAATAATAATAATAACATTTGTTTCTATATAACTAATTTCCCAATATAAAGCACCTACGCTTCTTGCACATAAACAAATATATAATGATTACAAGGTATCACTACTAATATCAATATTACTAATATCAACCTTAAGCATAATAAAATCCCTTCACTGCCTAGATTTCATGGACTGTCTAGGATGCCAGGCTGTAGCTTAGTCTGAGTTTTATCTTTGGCTGGAGACAGGCATTGTTTGCCTTTTCCCCAGGGACCACAAAGGATGTTTAAAGAAAGGATCATTGTCCACCAAAGAATATGCTCATCTGATTTATATACTTCAAGGAGTCTATTGGTCATTTCTGAGTCAGACTTCTGTGTTAATCCTTAGATAGTCATTGGATAAGGCCACTGATTGCAATTCTTGAGGTTCTTTGAGGATAGGAGTAAAACTAGCCTTTAACTCAGATGTCAGTATTAACTTAAGTCTTTGTCAATAGCTCCTAATGATTACAACAACATGGGCATGTTGCTTTCCTAAAAACAATTATGGAAGGACTTTGTCATAGCATCCTCCCAGGATATTGTTTTTCCAACTGTCCTATTTTACAGCCCCAGGATTCCCTGGTGGTCTCCCAGCTTTAGCTTTCTTGAATCCATATCCACAGTTCTGATCTATTTATATGTATGGTTTCTTGGTGACATGTTCAACTTTCCCCT